GTATCGCGATAAAGTTTGACCTTTCGCTTTGTGATAACTGACGTTTGCAAAATTCGTATACGTCTCAGAAACGATGGACAACCTTGCACAATCTCTCGACATGCTGTTGTGATAGACTCGTCTATGATAGACTCGTCTACGAAATAGACGCTATAGACCTTTTCTCTTCTTTCTTCGTGCTGGTAATGAAGAATTTTGCAATCGAGTGGGCTAACGAATCTGATTTTTGAATGAGAACGGGAACGAGAAAAAGCGCACGTGGAAAGGGCAATGATGTTGATGACAATGCAGTCCTAGATATGCACTTGTCCTACGTCTACACAACCTGATACTTTTCAACGTCGAGCAACGAATCGACTGAAAATTCGAAAGGTGAATTGTCTGCTGGGTTCGACACGGACAAAACCTGCCAAGACAAACACGTCAATACCTGTTGGTAAAAAGTTTGGCAAGAGACTGGAGAAGCGAGACTGACCTCGACACCACAAACACCCTTTTGAGAAACGAAATCGACGACGACAGGGAAGAAAGCATCAACGTCATCTCCTTCAACTTCAAATTCTAATGAACCACTCGTCGTTCCAGCGTTGTCAGACACTTCATCCAAGACCCATTCAAGTCTTTGTCCATCTGGACTCAGAGAATAGGAACCGTTTGAAGGTGCTTCTGAAATTGTTGGTTGAGCACCAGCTGGCAAACCCAGTGAGATGAGAACGTTTTGCAATGCGAGGTCGGTGTTTTCGAGTTCGTATTCAAGGTTGACTGTGCAGACACCGTTGTCTGACGAAGGCCAGCAATTGACTGTCAAGGAAAAAATAATTAGTCGCGTCGGATTTGACGAATCTCCGGCAACTCACTAGAGATGGGCACGATCGATTCGTCGGTGCCAGTCATTCGCCACTTGAGTACACCTAAACCTTGACCAACCGGGAAACCTTTTTTACCTTCTTTCAATCGAATCTCACCACGTTGAGTCCAAGCGTTCTTGTCCACGTTGGGATGTGTTTTGAACTGCAAATCGTTTGCTTTCGAGTATGAAGATGGTGGTGGTAATGCGATGGCCAACACGGATTTGCTGGGATCAGAAATGCGCAAATCAAGATCGCCTTTGACAGTCAAAGAGTCGACGCCGCCGTCTCGATTGAGTTGCAATGCGAGATGCTCGCGCACGACTAAATGAACACTGTTGACGAGCGAAGAGTCAGTAAGACACGAGTTGCAACCGGGGCCTGTACCGATACTCACTCTGAAGGTGGAACATCGCCAAACGGGTTTGAGTCTTTTGTCGAAGCGACGGCTGCCGGCGCTGTCGCTTGTTGGTGTGGCTGTTGGTAAGCCTCCTCTTGTCTCTCTTCATGTCTATGAGCCAACAGAGGTTCGTCGTCGACGTTGAGCCCACCGAGAGCCTCTTGCAAAGTTGAATCCTGCTTCTTTGACTTTGAGCCCAATTGCATACCTTTTGTCTTGAAAGGTTTGGCGGAGGGTGCTGCTGATCGATCGTCGAAAGGTGGATAGCCAGGTCGTGAGGATGCTCCAGCGTCAAACGTTGGTGCTGCAGGCGTGTAGGAGCTTTGAGCGTACGACCCCGCCGAAGGGTTTGCGTACGGGTTCTGCCCTCGTCTTGTCATCTCTCGTCTTTGAATCTCAAGCTGCTTGGCTCGTCGTTTGAGCTCTTCCTTGGCTTCCATCTCCTTGTTCTGTAGCGAGGGGAAAAGGAGGTCAGTATAGGCTCGTCGTTCGGCGCCTGCGTACCCCCAAACGTACTCGTGCAATGATTTCCTGAATCTTTTCTTCATGTGACTCCATCTCCAAGACACTTCTGACCTGTTGCAGGTTGACATTTTCACGCCAACCCAGACTGACGACCTCATCCCAAGCGCTCAAAATTTCGAAACTGACTCGCATGACATCGTATTCTCCAATGGCTCCTCCTCTACCTCCGCTTCCCAGTTCGGTCGCAATGCGAGTGACGAGAGACAATGTGCTAAGGTCGAGCAGGATGTTGGATTGAGTGTTTGTGATCAACAGAACGTAGAGATCTTCCAAAGGTGTGTAAACGAATCGAACACCTGAGGCTTCGAGGACAGTGTGCTCGGACGCGGGTGACACGAGTCGAGGGAATGACGCAAGCAAAGACTCGAGTCGAGGTCGTGGCAGGCCTAGTGCCTGTCGAGACAACAGTGCTGTGGGCATAGGAAGGAGCGAGCGGTCAGCGGAGGCGCCAACGTACGCAAAGAATGGTTGCGCCGGTAGCCGCAGATATCGAAAGTTGATTGAAAGCCGTGCAGGGCATGCCAGTGATGGTCGCCGTGATCTCCAGCAGCTCAGACACGCCCGGGATCGGTGACCGCACGTGGTCGGCTTCGAGCGTCGTTGTCCACGGCAGCAGGTAAGCTCTTGAGAGGTTCGAAGGTGATGAATTGAGGATGGTGACAGTAGCTTGTGCTTGTCGTCATCAACAAATGTCGTGGTGAGACCGGATGCCACGTCGGATTGCTTGGGGGGCCATCGTCGTCCGGCTCGCCGACATTCCTGACAGCAAAGTTACTCACGTTTGCCACTCTTTGTGACAATCGACACGGCAAGCACGACCTTTTGACGGCGTCAGTGGGCGTGTCATGGGATCGGTGGGCGGGAGCGCGTCGACGCAGCACAGTACAAAATATAGATGGTGGGAGCTCATCAGCTTTGTTTTGAGTTACTCTCCATAGAGTGAGACATGAACGTACCATGTTGCGACGTGCTGTGACGGCAGTGGTGGAGAGCAACGTCTCGGAACGCGTTGGCGCGTGCTCGAAACCGCAGCAGTCATCAACTTGCAAAGTTGCTGCAGGACCAGGCTCAAGGTATTATTTTGTAGTCTGGCTCGACACCCCAGCTAAACCAAATGCGATTTCAAGACTTGACAACCTCGCAAAAAGATGGCTAGCGCTATATCTCTAATTAGATATATCCCTCCAGGACCTCAGGATGACCGAGGCAGTGCAGACAAACACTCTTAGTCCACTATGCAGCAAGATCGGCGAGCCGGGCAAGAAAAAGAGAAGGCCAAAATCTTTCGTGTCATCTCGCACCTCGCAAAGATCGAAGGAAGGACCAGCGTGCCAACGAACATCGACGTGCTGATGCTGCGATCACCGTCGGTGCTGACGATGAGATAGTGGCAATGCAATGAAATAACTCGTAGATAAGGAAAAGAAGACACGGCGTTAAGAAAAACAGTGATCGCCGACCCGGAGGCCAACGCTGCCAACAAAAAATTGCGCTCAGTGACAGGATCGAACTGTCGACCTCCTGATTGACGTGTTACTTAATAACAGTCAGACGCTCTATCCAACTGAGCTAACCGAGCTGACTGGCGGCGACGAGGCGCAAAAAAATTTATGAATGCCAGCATCCGGCAATTCCCCGCTTTACCGATCGGGTCCGGGGAGTTTGTCAAAGTTCTCTTTTTCAAAGATCTTCGTAGTTTCAACTAGTCAATTTTTGTAAAGCTTTGGGTTTGATACCAAAAAAAAAACCGAAGTTTTGTCTTTTCGCATTGAACTCGGTTGGAATCCCACAGTTGTTGGTTCATGACTACATTATGGTGATGGATCTTCCTGCGTCACTGCATTTTTGCCCAGTATCAAGTCTTTTCGCTCTGTTTAGTGTAGTTACTTCATTGTGGCTGCTGCTATTCAGGGATTAGATACACGGCCCATCTGTTGGCAACACACAACCTGAGAGGGGGCCGAGACATTGGTGGAGAAGAATACGCCGCGCGTTCCATCAACAATCGTACACGGAGGTGTATCCTTTGCCGGTCAAGAGATGAAGGCGTCCTCGAGACACTCGAACACATCTTTGGCTACTGTCGAGCAACTAAGCAAGTTTGGCGATTGGTGTTCGGTCGCCTCATTCCCTTTCCTGGGCTCGATGCGCTGGTTCGACCGAATCTATCTCCACAGCAAGCTCACCAAGCCCGCGTGCCAGTCATCTTTGTTCATCATGTGTGGCCCTTGCGGAACAGTCGACGATTCAACTCAATCCTGGTCGACCGAGTTGCTACCCTCAACGAGCTGTGGAGAACAGCACAAGACATCGCCTATGATCTTACGAGAGACTTTATTTGAGTGTGTGGTCCATCCCCGATCTACAATCCTACTCTTCTACTTCATTTCATCCCCCCTTGTCGCCGCCTCTCACAATCCCCAAGGTTTTTTAGTGGGTAGGCAGCAAAGTTCTATTCGACTCAAGATCGAAATGTTTCCTCTGACTGCTAGTCCCACACTGTTGGTTTGAGGCGACCTTCGCGCGTAAGGCATTTTTTATCCTTTCTTCTGGTTGATCACTTGTCTAGATTTTTTTTTTTATCTACTAGTTGCTTCATTGCATTGCCACTATCTAGATTAAGCTCCACACATGATGAACAAAGATGACTGGCACGCGGGCTTGATAAGCTTGTTGTGGAGATAGATTCGGTCGGACCAGCGCATCGAGCCCAGGAAAAGGAATAAGGCGACCCAACACCAATCGCCAAATCTGCTTGGTTGCTCGACAGTAGCCAAAGATGTGTTCGAGTGTCTCGAGGACGCCTTCATCTCATTACAGGCAAAAGAGCACCTCCGTGTACGATTGTTGATGGAACGCGCGGCGTATTCTTCTCCACCAATGTCTCGGCCCCCTCTCAGGTCGTGTGTTGCCAACAGATGGGCCGTGTCTTCTGCGTCTGGGAAGTGCCTTCGAAGCTTCGTCAGCGTAGCATACCACTGAAGCCACAAGTCTTCGTTGTCCCCCTCGTGCAGGGTACCCCCTGGGGCTCGAGTCAGCAAAATCCATGATACTGGATAACAAGGGGCATACTAGCACTTCTGGCACAGAGCAACGTCACTTTTGTCTCATATAGAGTGCTTGAAAAGACTGGTGCAGAGGAAATGCCGCAGAATAGAGACTCGGTAAAAACGTGAATTCCCAATGCCGTACAATCATGATTGTTCGTAAATTATACGCCCCAACCCGCTCGGTTAGCTCAGTTGGATAGAGCGTCTGACTGTTATTTAGTAACACGTCAATCAGGAGGTCGACAGTTCGATCCTGTCACTGAGCGCATCTTTTTTTGCCTGGCTCCCGCACTCGCCCCGAGGTCCCCCTCGTCCGTATTCATTTTTGCCACTGTACATGCTTCAGCCTTTCATATTGTGACCATTGCAAATCGATGAGTGAATGTAATTTTTGGATGCTCAAGGCTAGAGCTCTCTTCGTCATGCGAGATGACACGAAAGATTTTGGCCTTCTCTTTTTCTTGCCCGGCTCGCCGATCTTGCTGCATAGTGGACCAAGAGTGTTTGTCTGCACTGCCTTGGTCATCCTGAGGTCCTGGAGAGATATA